CTCCTAGGCAAGTATAGTTCCTTTCCATTGGGGGATTATCTTCTAGTAGCTGAAATTGCTTAGTTTTAAAAATTAATTGGAGATAATTTAATTCAATTTAATTGATTACTCTAAAATTCCCTTACTAAATTGTAAGACTCAGGAAGTCAGATTCCCTAGAGGGGAAACCACCCTCACTTGAAAGGGGGAATTCCCTAACTCCCCTCCCTCACCCCCCCACCCTCCCACAGCCGGAGCAGCCGGCAGCCGCCTTAAACAAACGGGGAAGCTCGTGCAACCCCGTGCGTTATAAAAAAAAAAAGAAAGACAGAAAGGCAAGCAATTAGCGAGGGGAGCGGAGGACAAAGGGGACGCATGCCGGGAGGGAGATTGATTAAGGGAAACAGCTGGCGAGCGAAGGAGCAGCTTCTTTCACTCACTAGGCTGCTCAGGGTCATTTAAACGAGGTGCCATTGCCTGGGCAGCTTGGAGCACGCGCGACTCTTTGTTACAACCGCACGTGGCACAGGCAAGAGGGGAGACTTTCTGCGCATGCCCGGCAGCCTTTTAGCACAGGCGCAGTAGTCTCCTGCCTCTTTAGCACATGCGCAGTAGACTCCTGGCCTTTTTAACACATGCGCAGTAGTCTCCTGGCAGTGGCGGCCATATTTTTGTGCAAACAGGGGATCCAATGCTCCCTGAGAAGCCTAGGTCCAGCCGCTGGAGTAAATTAACAGGCAAACAGTACTAAGGTACTAGAGCACCTATTATTCATTTAGAGACATTCAAATCAGATGCTTGTTCCAGGACTTGGAGCCTTCAATCCAAAGTAAATAAGAACCTTTCATAACTAACTGAATTCAGTTGCCTTTGGCTCCTTCCGGACTTTGGGTCCCCCATTAGTGGCCCGTACGCTTCTGGATTTAGTGGTGGGTTCCAGGCATCCCCAGTCACGTCCTTACCCACCATAATCCAGCCGGATTCCAGGCATTCCCATTAGCATGCCTGTTCTTATCCGTGCACAGTGACTAACTCTGACAATTTTGCAGAGTCTGCTCCTGAGTTCCAGACGCCCCCTGTAGTGCACCTGTCCTTACTCAAAGTTGGAGCTCTCCTACTACCTGGGTCCCCCCTATCGCGGCCCGGCATTAGTAGAGAATGGAGGAAGCAATCATTCCCTCCACTGGAGCCCTGCCTTCATCCTCTGGAGCACCCTCTTCAGAGGATTCGGAATCCTCTGCAGCCCCTAGAAAGGCTGCAAGGAAGTCATCAAAGAAGGCTGACAAACAGGCAATCAGAAGACACCAAGCCCTAGAAAAGGAGTTCAACAGAGCCCAGAAAAAGGCCAGAATTGAAAATAGGCAGAATGGGGGGATAGGCCCCGAGCTACCGCTGGGTCTCCCTTCATCCCCACGGGGCGTTTGGTCATTAGGGAACTCATCACAGTCCCAAACAGAGGGCGGGATAGGCGAATTCTCATCGCTCTCCCAATCCCCCTCCCCACGGAGGTTACAGGAAACCCCGAGGACCATGCAAACCACAGCACCTGCAGGGTCGCAGGCAATGGTTACGCCCCCTGCATTGACGGGGGATCTGCTAGCTACCCTAATAGCACAGGCAGTGGACCGTGCATTTGAGGCCAGGGCTCAAACTTCCAAAGCCAAGCCTCTAGGATTTAGAACGAGGCATCGGGAGGAAACGGAGGACCATCAGGACCTCTCCTCCTTCTCAGACTCGTCGGTCTCAGAGGAAGCTTACCTGGACCAGCCAGGTACGTCACAAGGGATTCAAATGTCTGAGGAAGAGGAGGACACCTCACCTCAAGGGCCCTCCTTCAGCGGCCTGTTTAACCCTTCTCTTTTTGTTACCATTCTGCGCAAGGCTGAGGCCACAGCCATCTGGGGCTTGGGACACCAGCGGAACCTGTCACAGTTGACACGGAGGCTGAGCCAACGTTCGCCGAAAAGGTAACCACTCAATACCGCATACCATGCCCGACCATGTTCCTAAACACAATAAGGAAACAGTGGGCAGCGCCAACCTCCCTACCGCTTCCTAGCAATGCGGAGAGGAAGCTATTTAACGTAGCAAGGGAGCTAGAGGGAACATTGGAGGTGCCGGTGGTGGACGAACCCATAGGTCCCCTGATATCGGACACGGCCATATCAGGAGATTTTGCTGAGGCTCTTAAAGCCGAGGACCGAAAGAGTGAGTCCAACTACAGGAGAACGCACCAGGCAATAGCTTGGGCTACCAGGGCGACTACCTCTGGGTCCTTTTTCACCAGAGCCACACTCTGTTGGCTCCGTGAATTACAGGGCCGGGTTCCCATGGAGGACGTACGCACTCACCAGGAACTCAGCAAAATGGTAGCGGCCACGGAATATGCGTCAGACGCGACACTTTTGGCGACCAGGTTTTCAGCCAAGGCAATGGCAGCAAACAACACGAGCAGGCGCCTCCTCTGGCTAAAGAACTGGCAGGCGGATACCAAATCCAAGTGGAAATTGGCTTCGGCTCCGTACCAAGGGGGCAAAGCTGTTTGGTGAGGCACTAACGCCATACCTGACAGAGAACAAGGACAAGCGCAAGGTCCTTAAACACATGCTTAAAAGGCAGGACAAGAGACCCGGCTCCTGGGGAAGGAAACAATCCTTTCGTATGGAAACCAGGGTCAACTACTTCCAAAACAGGTAAGCCGCGGTCAGTCAGTGACGCTGGTCTGCCTCTCCCAGCTGCTAGGGAAGATGATATCGACCATAGTAATAGTTCCTTGGGCAAGGCTGCACTCAAGAGAACTGCAGTGGTTCATGCTCCCGTTTCAGAGACAGCAAATCAGTGCATCCCGGAAGAGGGTAGGCATACCTCTGAGAGTACGACACTCCCTCAGGTGGTGGCTATCTCCAGCTCTCCTCAGGGGGTCCCCCTTCAGGGAACCAGACAGAGTAGTAGTCACAACAGATGCGAGTTTATTTGGCTGGGGAGCCCACTTGGGGACCAAGTGGACACAGGGCCGCTGGTCAGTGGTGGATCTCCGACACAACATAAACTGGCTCGAGCTGCGGGCTATTCACCTAGCGTTAAGGCATTTCCACAGCAGCATAAAAAGCAGGCACGTACTGGTCCTGACGGACAACGTGACAGCCAAGGCCCACATAAACCGTCGGGGGCACACACTCTCGCTCGCTCTCGGCCGAGGCCCTTCTACTGGGGGCCTGGGCGGAACAAAATCTGGCCTCCATAAAGGCCGACCACATATCGGGGGAGGCAAACATTCAAGCAGATCTGTTGAGCAGATCAACAATAGATCACTCGGAGTGGCAACTACACCCGAAGATCTTCAGGGAGATCTGTCACCTCTTCGGGCTTCCCCAGGTGGACCTATTTGCCTCTCCTTCCAATGCCCACCTAACTCGCTTCTTCTCCCGATTCCCATCCAGGGGAGCAGAGCAGACGGATGCGTTACGGAGCCCATGGCCAAGGGGACTCCTGTACGCGTTTCCACCCTTACCTCTCCTTCCGGCGCTAGTACGCAAGATTCTGCGGGAAAGAGCCAGGGTAATCCTTGTGGCCCCTTATTGGCCAAGGAGACCTTGGTTCGCAGACCTGAGGAGTCTCTCCCGCACGAATCCATGGCGGATTCCTCCGGAGAGGATCTCCCTCAAACAGGGGGAGATCTCCCACCCAGAGCCACAATGGCTACAACTAGCCGTCTGGCTCTTGAACGGTCAATTTTAGTCAAGGGGTCTTGCTCACAGGGTGTAATTAGGGTCATACAGGCATCAAGGCGCCCCTCCACGAACCGTATCTACGAGGCCACATGGAGAAGCTTCCAATCATGGTGCTCTGAACAGGAATTGTTACTCAAGGGGATCACAGTTCCCAAGATCCTAGAATTTTTACTAGATGGCCTAGAGAGGGATCTCTTGCCAAACACGCTGCGCAGGCAAATCGCCGCCCTCTCAACTATATTTTCTGCCAGCCCCGGTGAATCCTTGGGCAAGCATCCCTTAATACGATCCTTTCTCAAGGGGGCTGCAAATATCAGACCGCCAACCGTGCACAGGTATCCATCGTGGGAACTACCACGAGTACTACAAGCTCTTACCAGAGCGCCCTTCGAACCACTCAAAACATGTGACATTCGCTACCTGACCCATAAGGTAGCGTTCTTAGTAGCTATCACGTCAGCTCGACGGATATCCAAGTTAGCTTCTCTCTCAACGAGGAAGGACCTGTGTCACTTTCACATGGACAAGGTAGTCCTAAGAATAGACCCTTCCTTCATTCCAAAGGTCAACTCCTTTTTTCACAGATCACAGGAAATAGTCCTACCAGACTTCTGTCCAAACCCAGCTCATCCCCTGGAGCAACAATGGCACACCTTGGACGTACGAAGAGCACTAAGACATTACATTTCGCGCACAGCGGAATTCCGACGCTCGGAAGCGCTTTTCATATCCTTCCACCCCGCTACCAGGGGCCGGAGGGTCTCGTCCTCTACCATCGGTAGGTGGATTAGGGCATGCATCACTGGGGCATACCAGGCGGAGTCCTTGCAAGTCCCCAAGCATATCACGGCCCACTCCACAAGGAGCGCTGCCACCTCAGCAGCATGGGCCATGCAGGCTTCTATTGAAGAAGTATGCAGGGCAGCCACTTGGGTCTCGCCCTCTCCATTCATTCGCCATTACAAAATCGACAAGTACTCCTCTGCAGAGGCCTCCTTCGGTAGGAGGGTTCTCCAGCAGGTTCTAAACCAAAGTTACACACGGGACCAGTCTATTCCCCAACCCAAGGGACAATAGGCTTTGGTATGTCCCACTGCGTGGATTATCCATCTCCAGTGCTGGAGAAGGGGCGTTGACTTACCTGAACGCCTTTTCTCAGCACGGAGATGGATAATCCACACCCACCCTTATAGACTAGGATAATAGGGTATATTTAGTTGAGCCAAAACGTCTTACTGTCAGTCAATGGCTGCGCTCGTGTCAAGACTGGAGAATCATGGTCCAGGACAGGCGTGGCAACTTTGGCTGAGTGATCTGATTGGCCAGGAATACAGTCTCAACCCACTGCGTGGATTATCCATCTCCGTGCTGAGAAAAGGCGTTCAGGTAAGTCAGCGCCCCAATCCTTACTGTCAACAGAATGGTACAAAAAGATCTAAACTGTTCAATAGCAAAATACTGTGATAGCAAACAACGGGTAGGAATATCATTTCAGATTAATGTTAGACTAAGGGACTTAAAGAAGATTGCCTCTTTCTGTGTTTTCTTTGAAGTTGTCATTCTGCATGTATCTATGAGTTGAAATCATCCAGAACAGATTTTTTTTTCTGGCTCTATGATCCACTTTGAAAGATTCTCATATATTCTGTCTCTCATATATATCCATTCATATCTTTATACAAAGAGATGGCCCAAAGTGATGTGTGCATCTGTGTGTATGTATCTCTCTGTGTGTATGAACCATATGGTACATACCAGTCTTTTTTTAACTGTCATTGTAACACAAGTAATAATATGCTGATAGTCACTTATGCATTGTCAGTAATTATGGCATCAGTGCTCAATTGAAATGCACTTTGCACAAATAAGATGCATTGTCAGAAAATGTTTATAGTAGAAATCCGAAGTGAAACACTTTTGTGATACTTAAATCTAGAAATGCATTGTCCTACATCCACCAAAAAGTTGTAGTTTACTTAACAAGAACATCCAGTAAATGTTTAATTGAATCCGAACAGCCTCCTCCATGTTCCTTTATTATGGAGACTGGGGAATATATTTTATAATACAATATTACATAGAAAACAACCATGCAGCAATTGTGATTAAAGAGACCAAGGTTTAATTCATATTTAACTATGAAATTGATGAAATTTGAACCAATCACTATCATTCTATCCATGGAATTATTAAACTATGCAGGAGAAATAAATGAAATAAACAAAATATGTGTTGCAAGTAAATCCATAGTAGAGCATTCAAACCTTTTGCTGACTGCTTTTTTCTTTAGATTAATACTTCATTAGGATGAATTACTGCCTGCTATACAGATTTTACTGAGTAAAAATGATCACTGTATGGATAATTGTGTATCCATTCTCATAAAAAATATTTAAAAAATATTTAAAAAATCAAAAACTATTTGGAAGCTGCTTTCAAAACTTGGATGGATGAAACTTTATCATGTTGCAGTTCATTGACTAAATATATGTCCAAATATATTCCAATTACATCTTTTATGAACATACTTAACCTATGGGTAAGCAGTTACATCATGAGGAAATGGATGCCAGTGCTTAACACTCCATTTCATTAGCTCTCCGTGGATGATATCAGTGTGAAATTATTTTCATTATTGCCCTTGATGTAAATATAGTTGGAAAAAAAAAACCAATGCAGTATTAAACAATATTAATCACTAATCTGGGAATCTACAGATTCCTCAACTGTTGTCTAGTTTGACCAATAATTATTCACCAATAATACTCAAAGATCACATGATCTGAATCACATTTTCTCCAGCATGATAGATGTAGCATCCACCGATGGGTAATCAAAGCCTTCCTGCTCAGATTTAGACTAAAACCAAACTTTAGCCACGCCTCCTTTGGGCATTCCTTTCCCAGTTTTGTCTTAGTCTATGCTCAGATAGGACACAGATTTGCTAGCTCCTCAATTTTTTTCTAATTTAAGTAGTTAAAATTAGGTTAGATAGTAGGAATTCTAGTAGTTTTAGCTGATTAATAATCTTTAAATAGTTTTAGCAAAAGTCAAGGAGTTAAGAACCCCTGGGAGCGTTGTTTCCAGAGAGCCTATCTGGCCACGTGGATCCTAGGAGCTCTGCTGCAGAGCTGCGGTGTTAGCTCTTATCATCTGTTGAGCACAACAAGGGAGGCTTCCCTAGCGCCCAGGAGCAATTTTATTGCCAGCGCTCTGGAGGATTCAGCCGGATAGCCGGATTGCCTCTCTTGCCTCGTGGCCATGAGGCACCATCGAGGATCGCACTGAGACTCCCCTACGCTACAGAATCGCAAGTGTTGTAGTGCCATATAACTGTGTGTGGGGGGGCGAGTGGTAGAACTTTCCCTCCCCTGGTCTCCCTGAACGGGGAATTTCAAAAGCAAGCTCATAGAAGCTGCCTTGGAGCTCAAGCTAAGGGGAGAAGCCGTTTTTAGGCGCTAAGGAGACTCGTGGCCACCATTTTGAATCCTGTGCTGGGTGTGGCCACCATATTGAGAGTCACTTTTTGATTCTGATACAGGCCTATTATTTCAGTAGCCCACTGTGTTGGGCTCTTGAGGGGGTTTATCAGTCATTTTTCTCCAGCTTTCTTCATAGAGCTTCCATTATAGGAGGTATATTTTGTGTTTGATTCCTGTAGCCTTAATTCTGTGGGCAAATTTCCTGACCTGTTCTCTTTAGCTTCTGGTGCTGTGTCAGCAGGGCCTAGACAGACAGTTTTAGGTAGCTGTCTGGCTGTTTGCCATTGTGGTTGTCTTAGGGCGCGGGAAGCTTCCCTCCCAGACAACTTGATCTGCGTATTTACCCCCTTCCCAGGGCTTCTCCTATCTGGAAGGTCCAGGGCACAATGGCAGATGGTGAGACTCCTCAGACATTGCAAGGTTCTGATGTTCCCCCAACACAATCTAAACGCAGATCTTCTGATTTGAGCATGGGGGGAAAGAAAAAGGCCAAAACCAAGCATTTGACATCTAAAGAACCCTCCAAGGCTGCTGAGCGAGAGGCCTCGAGGAGACATCAGGCACCGGAGAAAGAATTTTCCAAAGCACAAAGGCTTAGGTGCAGTGAAGCTGAAGTGGTTCCCCCTGCTTCTCTGGGCAGTTCACCATGTGAGCCCCCGCTGGTGCCTTCTTATCAAGCCCCCAAAGCTTGGCCTCCTCAAGGAGGAACTGAACAGGTCGGTCTACCTGCCCCTATCCAGCCTATTCCTTCACCTCACCCTGGTCCTTCTATTTCACCTGCTATCATCACTACGCAGGCTCCTGAAGCCACTGCTGCAGGTGTTACTTCAGCTGAGCGATCCTTATGGGCTCAGCAGTTCCAGAGCTTTATGCATCATGCCTTTGATCAATTTATGTCCTCTTCCTTGGCAAAGGGGCGCACGCAGATACCACCTTCTCCACCCTTGCCCGCAGACCATACTGGACATGTCCAGTCTGCGGGTTCAGGTATTTCTGAGACTTCATCTCAAATTGGGGAAGTTGAGTCTGTGGACCTGGAGACAACGGACGCTCCCATGTCTGAAGATGAGGAGGTGGCTCCGGATCCGACCCCAACATCGGGGCTTTTTGATCCAAACCTATTCAAATCACTGTTGCTAAAGGCCTGCACCAAGACCAATTTGGTCTCAGAGCAGGAACCCAAGCCATCTACTTCTACTGCACAGGAGTCAAATCCTTTGTTTGCGGTAAAGGTTGTGGAGGAAAAACAGGTTCCTTGTCCAGCTGTTTTCCGAGAGATGGTGGAGAAACAGTGGACTTAATTGGCCACTCTATCTCCTCCTAGCAGCACGGAAAAGAGATTGTATAACGTATCTTCTGCATTCTCTTCCCTTCTAGAGGTGCCTACAGTGGACGCTCCCTTAACATCTTTGTTCTCCACATCCACTGTTCCTGGAGACATGGCTGAGCACTTCAAAGCTGAGGATAAAAGACTTGAGTTTTCCCTCCGCAGAGCCCACCAGGCCTCAGCTGGGCTATCAGGACGGCATCGTCCTCGTCCTTTTTCGCGAGAACTTCTGTCATGTGGCTCCGTGAACTACAGGCTTTAATTCCTCCGGGTCAAGTACATGCACAACAGACTCTAGGTCAGCTAGTAGCTGCGGCGGAATACATGTCAGATGCATCCCTCCATTCAACCAAATTTTCCACTACATCTACTGCGGCCACAGTAGCATCTCGCAGATTCTTGTAGCTCAAACAGTGGAGGGCTGACCTAAAGTCAAGATGGCGTCTAGCTACAGACACCTACAGTGGCAAAAATTTATTTGGCCAAATCCTAGAGCCATACCTAGTTGAAGGGAAGGATAAGAGAAAGACCTTAGAGAGAGAAAGAGAAAGATGGATAAGAGGCCCCAACAAGAATTTCGCAGGCAGTCCTTTCGTGCCAGAAGTTCTTGGGAATGGAGGCAGCTCTTTCGATCAGGGCAGTCCTGAGATTGGCCCAGAGGTTTCCGATCCTTCACCCCAGATAGGATTGCCAACAGGACCGCCAAAATTCAGGAGCCAGGGGTCAATTCCAGGCAAAGCACCCCTTCAGGGGGGCTGGAGGCTGTCCATACAGAAAGTCCAAGTGACGCCAAATTGGATCCTCCCATAGGCGGGTGCTTGGCTCTGTTCAGCGACACTTCGGAGTTCACCACAAACGATACCTGGGTAAGAGAGACCATAAGATTCGGTCTAGCCCTAGAACTCAAATCCATTTTCCCAGACCGCTTCCTTCAATGTCCTGCAACCAAGACATGCACACAGGGCCGAGCTAGTAACCACAGCCATAACACACTTATTAGATATAAGGGCCATAGAACCAGTTCCTCTGGATCAAAAGGGAAAGGGGTTCTATTCCATACTCTTCGTGGTCCCCAAGGCCTCATGGGGTTGGAGAGCAATATTGGATCTGAAGGGACTCAACCGATTCCTAATTTACAGGAGGTTCAAAATGCAGTCCCTCAAGTCCATTCTGGCCAGCGTCAGAAGGGGAGATTACCTCTCCTCCATAGACCTGACAGAGACCTCCCTTCATGTTTCTGTCAGACCACATCACCGCAGATTCCTCCGTTTCTGCTATGGAGGCAGACATTATCAGTACAGGGCTCTCCCCTTCGGTCTATCCTCAGCACCTCGGGTATTCACGAAGATACTGGCAGTATTAGCGGCCTATCTCAGACTGATCCCGGTAAGAGTACAATGCTACCTGGACGATATAATTATCCAGTCCAGTTCATTCAGCACTGCACAGCTAGATCTACAAACTACAATAGAGACACTTCAGAGACATGGCTTTTCTGTGAATTTCAAAAAGAGCCACATTACACCTACCACTCGGATCTTACATCTGGGCGCGATGATAGATTCAAACCTATGCAAGGTTTATCTCTCCCAGGAACACAAGGACAGCATCAAATCTCTAGTTCACAGGATCCAGAGGGAGAAGGTAGTCCCACTTGTCCAGCTATCGCAACTGTTGGGGAAAATGATTTCTTGCCTAGGAATAATGCCGTGGGCCAGACTTCACTCCAGACATCTCCAATGGTTCCTACTCCCCTTCCAGAAGCGGAACATCAGTGCTTCCACACGGAAGGTGAGAGTTCCACATTACACTCTGCTCTCACTCAAATGGTGGGGGTCACCAGCCATACACAAGGGGTCTCTTTTCAAGGAGCCTCACAGACTCATCCTGACCACGGACACCAATCTGTTTGGTTGGGGAGCTCACATACAGACATACATGACACAGGGTCAATGGTCCAAACGCGATCTCGCACACAACATAAATTGGCTAGAACTCAGGGCAATACACCTGGCTCTTCACCAATTCTCCAACATAGTGACAGGGAATCATGTTCTGGTAATGACTGACAACGTTGCAGCTAAAGCTCTTATCAACAGGCAGGGAGGAACCAAGTCTTGGTCCCTCATGCAGGAAGCCCTAGCATTGGGTCTGTGGGCAGAATCCCATCTAAAATCCATCAGTGCAAAACACATTTCCAGGCAGGAGAATCACAAGCAGATTCTCTAAGCAGGGCGATGATAGATCACTTGGAGTGGCAATTGGAGCCAGCCCTCTTCAGGGAGATATCGGAGAGGTTCAGACAGACTCAAATAGACCTGTTTGCTTCACCAGCAAACGCTCAGCTTCCCAGACATTTCACGCGGTTTCCGTCACGGGGGGGCGGAGGGAATGGACGCTCTACGCAGCAGATGGCCCAAGGAACTTCTGTATGCATTCCCTCCACTTCTTCTGATTCCAGCCGTCATCAGGAAGCTTCTATTAGAACAGGCAGAATTAATCTTGCTGGTCCCACTTTGGCCAAGGCGTCCTTGGTTTGCAGATCTTGTGGACCTATCGGTCTCCCCGCCTTGGAAGATTCCATCAGATTGCATTTCCCTCAGTCAGGGTCAGCTCCAACACCTGGACACATAGTGGCTTCAACTAGCCGCTTGATACTTGAACGGGAGAGTTTAGCCAGACAGTCCTATTCATCTGGAGTGATTGCTGTAATTCAAGCCTCCAGACATCCTTCGACCAGCAGGATCTATGATGCCACGTGGAAAAATTTCTGTACGTGGTATAGCACTAAGAAGGTCAACCCACTAGCTATTACCATTCCGATATTGTTAGACTACCTTTCAGAAGGACTGAACAAGGGTCTGTCTTATAATACCATTCGCAGGCAGATCACAGCATTATCCACTGTTCTCATCTGCGAGAAGCAGGTCCAGATATCTCATCATCCAGCAGTTACGGCTTTCCTTAAAGGAGCCGTTAATACCGGTCCCCCTGTGGTTCACAGATATTCCACTTGGGACTTACCAAAAGTTCTAAAGGTTCTCACAGGGTCACCATTTGAGCCCATCAAGTCGTGTTCGCTACATCTCCTTTCCTGGAAGGTAGCTTTTTTGATAACCATCACTTCGGCAAGGCACATCTCGGAACTAGCCGCACTCTCGGTTAGAGGGGACCTGTGTAATTTTCAGGATGACAGAGTGATCCTCAAATTGGATCCTTCTTTCATTCCGAAAGTCAATACCTGGTTCCATAGGTCCCAGGATCTGGTTCTTCTGGATTTTTGTCCATGACCATCTCACCGTCTTGAAAGGTTGTGGCACACATTAGATGTGCGCAGGGCTTTGCATCACTATGTGAAGTGAACTGCAGAATTCCGTAGATCGGAGGCACTGTTTGTGTCGTTCCAACCTTCTTCCATGGGTCTGAAGGTATCATCCTCAACCATTGGTAGATGGATCAGGGCATGCATCTCTTATGCATACAAGGCTCAGTCTCTTCCTGTTCTGGCCAACATCACAGGTCATTCAACGCGTAGTGCAGCTACATCTGCGGCCTGGTCTACCCAGACCTCGATTGAGGAAATTTGCAGGGCAGCCACCTGGGCTTCCCCCTCCTCATTTATAAGGCATTACAAGCTTGATAAATTCGCTGCCTCAGACGCATCCTTCGGCAGAAGGGTTCTGCATCAGGTAGTTTCTACGCAAGAGTCATAAGCCTAGACTTCCCTCCCAACAGGGACATGGGTGGCTTTGGTATGTCCCATTGGTGGATGCTACATCTATCATGCTGGAGAAGGGACGTTGTCTTACCTGAACGCCTTTTCTCAGCATGAAGATGTAGCATCCACACCCACCCTTTACAGTTAGTTTGGCAGATTTCTTTCAGGAGAAGCTACTATGTTGGACCTAATGAATGCTTCGCCTCGACAAAACTGGGAAAGGAACGCCCAAAGGAAGTGTGGCTAAAGCTTGGTCTTAGTCTAAATCTGAGCAGGAAGGCTTTGATTACCCATTGGTGGATGCTACATCTTCATGCTGAGAAAAGGCGTTCAGGTAAGACAACGCCCCGTTACCTGAGACATTAGAAATTTTAATTAGGGAGAATATACTGCACATAGAGAGAGTCCCTCTCCTTATTTTAGAATGCTGGGTGATAGAAAGAGTTGGGGATAACAAGGCTGTTCTTATTTGTAATGCTTTTTCTTTAGAACTTTATCAACAATTAAATTTACTAATTCAGTTTTTTCTCATTTTTCAAAAGATAAATAAAATTTTAATTTCAACCATGCATTTGAAGATGAATTTAGAGCAAAAACTTTGGGAACTTGTTTATCTGCTCTTCTTTTTGCTTTTGCCATTGTTATTTCTAGGTCTTAAGATTCTAGGACTTATCTGGGGCTTATCATGGCATTCACATTTAAATGCAAAACTATATCTGTTGGTATTTCATATTTGGGATCCAAGTTGGTCATAGTTATATGATTATGTGAGTATTTGATCATTTTTTTAATACCATCCCACACTAGCCCAGATAGTCATTCCAGTTTTTTTTCCCTCTTCCGCAATTGTCTGTAAAAAGATATGACCAGACTAGAGCTAGTTTGGTGCATTGGTTAAAAGTTCTGGATTAGAAGCTGGGAAATTGAATTTTAATCCATCCTGGGAACAGAAACCAGCCAGGTGACCTTGAGACAGTCACTCAACATGGACTTGTCCACGGAGCGCCAATTTGAACATACAAACAAACAAAAAAGAACTGCTATTAGACATTCTATTATTAGTGAGGGATCTAAAAACCAATCTGAATTGACAACAATCCAACATTTTCCCATTTATAATTGTGGTAATATCTGCTTCATGTTTAATATAGTACCTGAATATAGTAAGATCCATGCCTTTGATTCATTTCGGCACTCTCTCCTTAACTGTGCTAGAAAGAAAATATAGGGGTATCCTTTTTTTGCCCCATTTCTCTTCACATGATAATAGCTAAGTAGAAGCTATAGAGCAGGGATGTCAAACTGCCGGCCCGCAGGCCAGTTTCATCATACCGGAGCCGTGCCCACCCCATTGCCGGCAATGGCGAAAAAGCTCCGATATGTTGCGCGATGTTTGACATGCCTGCTATAGAGCAAGTTGACCAGAGATGCTAACATTTCAACTCATTCATCCGATATTCATAAGGATACCAGGCTGTACAAATCACTTTTATATCCTTTAGTGTATTATGTTTGAAAAATGATTTTTCTACTACATACTGTGTATTGCAACCAAATTCTTTGCACCAGTGTAAGAAATACAGTGGAGATTTGTATGAAGAAAGAGTTTATTGGATCAGAAACATCGTATGTGTACTATTATTCTGTTATTCTCAGATGACTGCTACAGAAACTCAAAATATTTTATAATGTGACATTTTGATCATAGTTAGCTGATGTTATTATTGAAAACCTTTTAAAAGTAACAATTATTTTAAATGGATAACATACTACCCTAGAGTAACACTAGAACTACAGCCAGGTTATTTTAAATTATTTAATCTATATTCAGTAAACTATTAAATAACTTAACGTTACCAATTCATTTTGTTACAGTTCTCAATTCTATTGATATTAATCTTTTATAATAGCTTTATATATCTTTTAATATACTTACTTGAAATCATTAGTTTTCAGATTAGGTTATAGATTTGGTTTACAGTATTAGTTATTTTTTGGTAAATATATTTAAGGCTATTAAAATTTAGTATTATAAGTATGAAGTCACTAGATTAATTTCTTCAATCTTTTTTGTTGTTATTGTGGCAGGCATCAAGCCTCTGAGCACGAATATAGTGCCATGCTGCAAATACTTTGTCATGTTTCAGATTTTTTGTTTTAATGTAACATAGCAGCTACTTTTGTTCTCATGACACATCAGGGAATCTTAAAAGTTGTTATATTAAATTAATTGCACATTTCTACCAAGCCATTCTATTGGCTTATTTAGAGGCATTTCATCTTTAAATGTAATTTTTGTTTTATTCATTATTTTTATTTATTTTGTAAATAAAGAACATTGGTATTCATTTATTTTAGATGTTTTATCCCACCTTTATTACTTTATAAGTAACTTAAGACAGTGAATATACATAATATTCCTTTACAGGGCCAAAGTAAGATTAACAATTTTTTAAAAAGAAAATGTTTCAATTCCATCACCCAGTTCCCCCCCTCCCCCCATATTGCCTGTGTGCCTGATGCAGCTTTACTTTGTTTCATGGTTTCACCTTAAAGAAATGGCAGGTATAATGAGTTCCATTAAAATCACAGCTGTTTATCAAGTTGGCTGTTTGTCTAAAATCCTTTAGAGGGAAAAAATAACAAAAACTAGAATAATGTGGCTGCATAAATGTTCACGCCCTCTTATAGATAGGAATGTGGCTGTGTTCAGAATTAACCAATCACATTTAAACTGATGGTAAATAGTAGTCAATACACACCTGCCATCAATTAAAGTGACTCTGACCAAGCCCATATAAAGTTCAGCTGTTCTAGTAGGAGTTTTATAACATTAACTCATTTGCCCCTTACAGCAACAGCCATGGTTGTAAAGAACTTAGAAAGCACCAAATCTCATTGGAAGGTATCAGTCAGGAGAAGGGCACAATTTTTTTTCCAGGACATTGACTATACCATGGAACACAGTGAATACAATCATCAGTGTGGGAAAAAAAATGCCATAACAGTGATGTTACCAAGAACTTAATGTCCCTCCAAAATTGTTAACAAAATAAGAAAACTGGTCCAACGGGCTGCTAAGAGGACTATAGCAACATTAAAGAATTTGCAGGAATTTCTAGCAAGTACTGATTGTGTACTACATATGAAAATAATCTCTGGTGTGTTCTCCAGTACAGGAGATGGATAATCCACGGATGGGTTTTCTCTGTCTGCCTGCTCTTGAGACCAAGTAGCCAAAGCTTGACACGCCCCCACTTCCTGTGGAGTCCATTCTTAACTTGGTCTCTGCTCGAGAAGACTCGTTTTGGCGTGGCTCTCAGCTTATCAGGTTAGACAAGAAATCCATTGATTGATTATCCCTTGATAATTGGCTTCCCCTTCCAAAAAAATTTGCCACCTATAGGAATTTAACCACAAAATTTTCTGGGGATCAGCCCTGATCTCAAACCTAAAATTAAAAAGGGGATTGGTGGGGAGGGAAACTTCCCCACAGATATCAGCCAGCCCCAGGGCTCTGGGGGGTGGAAAGGGGGGGAAGAAGGCATCAGCAGAGACTACTTGCTGAACCTTTTCCCCAACCACTAATTTTTCCTTGAGATCATCCCTGATCCTATATTAAAATTTTAAAAAGGGGGTGTGGGGGGGGAACTCCCCACGGATCCCAGCCAGCCCCAGGGCTCTGGAGGTGGAAAAGGGGGGGGGGAAAGGCATCAGCAGAGACCACTTGCTGAGCTTTTCTCCCCAACCTTCCAAGGGATTTTTTCCTCAAATTGGGGGAAAAAATAACAATCTCCAGGTCCAGATTCAAACTTGAATTCGGATCATCGGAGATTCCCTAGCAGCCCAGGGCAACTGCGGGCGCCATTTTAGTTGCTGTTTTCAGGCAACAAAGGCAATCCCTGACTGGGATTCCCTTAAAACGTCACCAGCGCGCCAAATTTAAATCCCCGGGCACAAGCAGCTTCTGGGAGGCTGCGGAGCTTATTTTCAGAGGGAAACGAGCCTCCTTTTTAAAAAGCCGAAGCACAGGAAGGGAGTAAGCCCCAACCAAGAAACGGAGGCTAGAGAACCCTCCTGGGATCCGCAAAGCCCGTTTTCAGGGAGAAACGAGCTGCGGCTGCCATCTCTTGCCAGAGGAAGGCAAACCGAGCTTAAGGAAGCTCCACATCATATCTGGAATCACTGATAGAGGCAGAATAGGAGCGCACAGCCAGCACTCCACCCCCGATACACACATATAATAATAGGACAAAATATAATAATAATAAAAATAAATACATAAAATTTAAAAATAATAATAATAATAATAATAATTAAAAAAAATTTAAAACTAAAAATTAAGCGACTGCAGGGCCAACAGGCCTAAAGGCAGAACACACAATATTATCATCATCACCATTATTGTTGTTGTTATTATTATTATTATTATTTTATTATTGTTGTTGTTCCTATTATTAGTATAATAGTAATAATATTAATAAGAATAAATTCCGCTCTAGGTGACCGCCATTTGATACCTGTTGTGTATTAAGTCAGGCCTACAGACCCTTTTGAGGTCGCCACTGATATTTTTTGCCTCCCTTTTCCTTTTTCTACTGGTGCACGTTGCCTGGTCACCTAAGGCCTCCGGGCGGAACCCAAAGAGTGGTTCCAAACGTGCCTTCGGTACCTCCCTCAGCTACCGTGACCTTAGCCCAGAGAGAATATTTTTGTTGTGGTCGGGTGATCAGGGGAACAGTCCTGGTACTTGTTCCAATTTCGCTCCCGCCAATACTTGCCTGCCTGAGCGTCTTCTCAGTTTTTCTGGGACTGCTCAAGCGGAATGGAGGGACCCTCGTTGCCTCAATCCATGAGCACGACCCCTCCACCTCCCAATTACGGCTGCAACACACCTTCTGACCAGAAGGCGGCAGGCAAGTGCAAAGCGACGACAAAACACTCGCTCAAGAGGCCCTCCAAGTTGGCGGAAAAGCAAGCCAGCCGTAGGCACCAGGCCCTGGAGAAGGAGTTCTCCAGAGCGCAGAGGCAGGCCCAATTTGAATTGGTTCAAATAGCGGCCACCGAGATGGAATTACCATTGGGTCCATCCACATCAACCCAGAGCGCGTGGTCCATTCCAGGAACACCGCAACCACTGGATCCGCCATCTACATCAGCCCAACAAACAACCACGGCGGCAGGCACAACCACTGAGTCCACCTCTCCACCTGCGGTCACCACACCCAAAGGTAATGACATAGGGGACATCTGGGCAGATGGACGGCTAGAGGCCCTATTAACCAAAGTGGTGGACCGAGCCCTAGCACAGCGCTCCGCCCACCACGACCAGGGGCCCTCCATCTCATCCATGCCACACTCGGAACTCCCCTCAGAGTCCTCAGGCATTCAGGAACCCGTCTCCCCGGCCCAGTCCTCCATGAGTGGTTATTCTTCACCACAAGAGGAGGATCAACCTGGGATCTCTATGTCAGAGGATGAGGAACTTCTCCCTGAGCCCCCCTCAGGGGGATTATTTAATCACAACCGCTTCCTCACGATACTACGCAAGGCCACAGCCATTGCGGACATGGGGACAGATCAGTTTTCTCAGCGGCAAGCGACACTGGCCACCACATCCAGACCCGTATTCGTAGAAAAGGTGACAACGCAACACCATATACCTTGCCCCGCCATTTTCCTGAAAGGGATCAAGAAGCCACGGGACTCTCCCGCTTCCTTCCCATCAGTGCACGACGCGCACGCGCGGCGCCACCCCTGGAGGCGC